TTATTATTTATTGGCTATCACAGGTGTCTGCTGCACATTTTAACACCAGGTAAATGTTCCACAGTCATCTACCTCCAAATTATGCAACCTATTGATTTGCCAAYCATTTTATTTCTGTTTTTTTCCCTCTCTGTTGCTGAATGGGAAAAACATGACTTCCTCGGAGCAGTCGTGCATGCACGGGGACGGCGGTGGTCGGCCCATCATTATGTTGTAAAGTGAACCTCAATCCGGCGCTTGGAGGCGACGCACAATGCACAGCGTGCGTGTTTACTGAGCAATGCTAAAGCCATCGCTGCTGCTGCTGCTCTCGTTACTTATTGCTATACCTTTGACTTTGGATCCTAACAAGAGTTCATGGAGGACAACTGCACGGTTCAGGACAATGTCCTTGGAATTCCTGCTGGAAAAGTTCCAGTGAAGCCCCCGTTGGCGCATGCTTCTCCCCCAGAGGGTGGGAACAAATGATGTGGTTGCACAAACCACCAGAATTAAAAATAAATAAATAAAACAACACTTCTCGAATACTCCTTTTAATACAAAATATATGTGAAAACAAGTGGGGTTTTTTTTTAGAAAAAAAATATCAGGATTCTATAGACTTACATTACATTTAGGCTGGATTCTTGACTCAAAATGTATCAGATATTTTCCCTTCTCAAATAAATAAAGTCCATTCTGATGTTTTGCAGCTTTTTGTCCCTGTTTCTATTATTACTTAAAACATGTTGACATTTATCAGCGGGTGACAGACAGAAAAATGTTCCCCTGACTTTAAAAAGAAGAAGAAAAAAATGTAATAAAATGAATTATTTGGAGAAAAGAAGCAACTGATTGAGACTCTCTGCGTCATTGTAGACTTTTAATTGTACTGCTGAGGCCCATCTCCTGATTTTTTATAGACTATCTGATACTATTACGAGGTGAAATTAATATGATGTCCCATTGTTTCGAATCACGGGGTGCTTCCTAAATGTTTCAATAGACTCTTAAATTGTTGCCCAATAACACAGTCGTTTGGTTCCACTATAAGTGACACCTGTGTTGCTGCAAAAATTTGGCCCGTATGTAAAAAAAAAAAAAAAAAAAGAAAAAAAGGCAAGTGTTTATGTTTTATTTTCATGTGATTCGGATTGGAACAGCAACATGGCCAGACGTGAGGGGCGACGTTGGAAACGAGTCTATTGCAGGCGAATTTGTGCAAAACGTGGCAATGGCATTAACTTGTTTACTACCCCTGCAAACAAAAGGTTGTCTCACATGATGCATCCTGCATCCAAGTACAAAGAAAGCAGACAGCTGTCCAGACACAGCACTTGAATTTGACCACTAAAAATCCTCCTCTACGTCCATCATAAAACTCCGAATGGCTATAGTAACGCTAAATCCCCTTTGTTCCATAGAAAAACCGTAAACTCTGAGAATGAGAGGAATTTAGATTTCAGCAACTTAAAAATGGAGCTGAATGTTCACTCTGAAACGCTTTTAATAATCTGCGTTTGCTTTTTTTTTATCCTTTATTATCACAACTTTGTTTAGGAAGTTATTTTTGCAGGAAAAAAGTTTCTAAATCAGTTTATATTTTATTAAAGTGTGTGAAAATAATAATAAAGACTTCGAAAAGCATTAGAAGAAGAAATAATCGCAGTTTTCTGCAGTTAAGAAACGCGCAGCTGCTGATGTATTTTTTCTTTTTGGTAGGCCAAGATCAACCCACCGTAGCTATGGAAATATTTGTGTAAACACAGCGGCCTGAATGTGCTGTGAACAGACACATGCGCGACACATGCCGCTGCGTTGTAGCTCCGCGCAACTGTAATATTATTAATAGTATTAATAATTTGCACATTAAAATGTCACTGCTCGTTTCCACAGGAGTAGATCTTTCASACGTTGTAAACAAACAAGAACAACACAAAGGACTTCAGATGTAAAGCAGAAAAAAAATATCCAAAAACCTAACAGCTCGCGCGGCTTCAGCAGCAAACGTCGCGTTTCATTGCATTTAAAATGAATCCATATGTCAGTTCTGATCATAATATTTCCACTTAAATAAATAATAGAAACTAGTAAAAACTTCTCTTTTTTTCTTTCAGCAGGCAGTAAAATAAGCAGGACGGACAGACCAAAACAATATGGCCAATTCATTTTCCCCCATCATAATCATACCAGTGATGCGAATAATGCGGTATAAATAAGTAATGGGCGGGTATGAATAAGCGATACACTAATAAAGCTTAGAAGTTAAGGCCACTAATCAAGACAACRGGAAGAAATGAAACTGTTTCAATATGCTAAAGCAGAACTGAGGCTTTTAAACGACTGGGAAATGGCGCCCCTGTTTGATGCTTTTTAGCAGCATGTGTCATAATATGGCCAGTCAAAGTCCTCCACTTGTAAAGATCCGYTTTCTGATAGCTTTAAACCCGAGTTATTCTCGCCTTGGTGCGCTCAGACCATCAGTCAGAGAACAAGGCTTTCGCCGTGAGTTTATCTCTCTGCACAAAAAAGCTCCTGCAGAAACTCCGCGCGCAATAGGACCCGGGAATGTCTGATTACGCTGCGCCAAAAAATGAGCAGGAATATGCAGAGTTTGCAGGCAAAGTTCCCCTGCAGCTGACTTAGCTGCAGCCTTCACATCTCCATAACAAAGATGGGTAAACATATTAATAATAATAATCACCAATAGTTCTGAGAGCAGGTTGGAACGAACTGTCACAATAAATTGCTGTCGTTTAAAAAAAACAGTAAAAGCAGCAAGTTTACGATTTAGTCTGAGGAATTTTAGCGATGTGTTGCTACCTTAGGAGCGTAATTACTATGATTAACTTTAGGTGTCACCGTCTGGGAAAGAAGAAACCCCAAAAATGGCGCTCCTAAATATTACAATGTTTTTTGGCTGAGCGGTAATAAATCCTTGGGCCACATGATCCAAAGCCTAACTACACACGCACTCACAAACACAGAGACACACTCACCGTGGCCAAAGTTCACCGAGATACTTCTGAGCAGTTAGTTGAAGTCAGAGCTAAATGTGGTGAGCCTGCGTAATCACATTACTGTCCCCTGATGGCCCAGAGAAGTTAAATTGGATGTAAGTCGGCCTGTTAAATTTGGCTGCAAACAGTTTTAAGCGACACTAAAATGGTTTCCTTTCTTCTTCTTTTTTTTTCGTGTGGTGAAAGCACGATGCGTAAAAGCGTTTGTGGTGGCAAACAACAGCTTACAAGATAAAGACATGTGTTGCTGTTGCATTCGGAGCAATCTCCAGAGTGTATTTTACCTCCAACTACCAGGACATAAAGCTTTCACAACAATGTGTTAACTTTTTTTTATTAGAAGTATTAAATGATTTCACATCGCAAGAAATCCCTCCTTGTAGAGACTTTTAAATGTTCGTGTTATTTAAACATCCCGAGAAAAGCACTGAGGATCCCTGGAGGAGAGGAAGAAAGAAAACTCATGTGTGTCATAGCTGTAATTTGATTGAAGATAAGCTGAAAGTAATCTTGTGTTTTTTTACTGTGGCTGTGGGGAGGTGTTCTTCACGGTGGATCACATTTAGGAAAAATAAAAACAGAATACACTTCAGGCTAAAGTCTGTCACATGCCGATATATAAAAATATTTTGGGCTGGATTTAACAAATATCCTAATTGTACAGGTAATGCTCCTAAACACTTTGGTCAAATAAAAAAAATCATCATTTAGTTTGTCTTAAACAAATGAGCGCCTATTAAACGAACCATTACGCACAGAACGGCAAATAATTACGCACGAAATCCAAACGGCTACGCATTTGTTTGTTTGTTTTGAATTTGTCACCTTGAATATTGTTACATTACATGTCATTTTAAATTTGTTGTGCTCGATTTATAACTACTAAACATTAAATGTAAACCGATTTTTATATTAATCTAAACGTCTGGCATGTCCTTATGTAAGCCTTTGGGTTTGCGTGCTTCCAAATTTGATGTAAAAAGCAGAGCTGTCTTATTATTATTTTTTTTTGGGGGGGGGGGGGTGGTCAAAATACATTATTTTAGCATGCGAAGGCCCTGCCGACATGTATGTGGACCAAAATGAGACGCTGCGAGCTTCCTGCAGACGCAATTGTKACTAAAATCTACGGCCTGAATTGTTTTGGGTTTAAAGTCAGCCTTTTTTAACAGTAGCGGCATCTTTGAACACAGAACAACATACCGAGGATRATAATATTGCCCCGGGGTTAGTGCAATTAAGAGCTACGTTTATTGCCTTCTAAATAAGTGCTGACCACGTTTGAACAGGTGATTTTGAATGTTTCTGTATGAAGTAAACAATTATAGAAATAATAATTACAATAACATTTAGCAGGTACTTCCGCTTCAGTAGCTTTCAGACTTGACCTTCGTGGTTGCGTCGTGGACTCATAGTGTCGGCCTTAAAAAGACGCGTTATCAAAGCAGGAATTTTCTTACAAAAGATAAACGGTACAGAASGTATTTAAAATCCAAAGCGGTTTCTCTCACTAATGCACATTTTGACCCATCAAATCTAGACATGCGCAAATACAGGTGCGGGAGGAAAACGGCCTTCAGTACAGTCTCGGAATGCAAAACACTAAATTTGTGAAAGAAATGCATTAAAAGG